CGAGACTAACTAGCAAATTGCTAGTCTTTCTATTCTACAACTTGCAATTTACTAGTTATTATTAAAACAACTTACTGTTAGTAAATTACACTTGCTATTTAATTGCAAATTACTAGCAAATTACCATGTGAAATGTCTGATACGAACAATTCAAGAGTTTCGACCGTTACAGTTTCCAAGAAAACTTGTGAAAATGTCTTATTTGTCTGTCTGCCATGCAAAATTCGAAGTTTCATACCCTGAAGATCGAAATTTTCGAAAATTAGGAAAAAATAAAAACTTAAATTAAGCAGTTTTTTCCTGAATTTTTGATGAAAATATTATTTTATCATTTGATAATAAGCATAATAAAGTTAAATCTGTTTTCAAAACTATCAAAAACTTGAATGAAATGACAAAAAATTGTAACGGTTTTTCAAATTTAAATTTTTCGAACGTGCTTATTAAAACACCCCCTGACTTTCAATAAGTCTGTCGAACAAGAATTGAACCTATCAGGTTTGATCAAATCTGCTTAAGTTCGAATCTTACGAAAAATCATCAAAAAAGAATTTTTTGCGTCAGAAAAAATTTTGTTCTAATTTTGGTATTTGCCATATACTTCATAAGAGCGCGCAGAAATCATCTTTATAAGGTCGATCCAAATTTGTATGTGACTTACAATTAATTATTCATCCTCAGGTTTGCGTGCGAGTCATGGGCGTTCATCAGTGTTCGACTTAATTAAATTAAATCTTTTATTTTTTTTTCATAGTGTTAGTGTACTTTAATTAATTAAACTAAGTTCACACTAATACTTTTACAATAATTTACACAAATAAAAAAATCAAAAAAACACGTGGAAATCAACGGTTATATTCATTTAAATTTTTTACAAATTTGCTTGTAAATTACTAGTTAAATTGTAAGCGAATTGACTAGCCAATTAGCAAGCGAAAATGCGGGTCTTTGGCGAAGATTTGAACTTGGATTTTGACTAGTAAATAGCAAGTAGCAAATGGAAAGTTATCCAGTAAATTACTAGTAAATTTCTGCTAGAGATAAGGAGCTTAGCTAAGCTTAGAAGGACTTTAATTGATTCTGACAGAGCTTTTGGCTCTAAAGGGGTCTGAAATAATCTAAAAGATGCCATAGCATCTTAAATAGCTCTTAATTTATATAAAAACTTCTTGATTGGAACAATTTCTTGTAGGATGAGATGCCCTGATACTCAAATATCAGATAAACATCACTTACACTTGACCCTAAACTTAGGAATTCTAATTTTAATTCAACAAACAAGAAAGAACATCCCCACAAGTTAGAAATCAACAGACCAAAAGACCAATTCCATTAACCAAAAGAATTATTTTTCTTAAATAAAATTTTTCTATTTTTCATGAAAAAGAAGTTCAGAAAAATTTTCTTGTTTTTCTTCGTCTTCTTCCCGCTGTGTGCCTTTTTATATTTCAATTATGAGAAAGTTATATTGAGAAATTAAATAGAAAAGAAAAAAATACAACAACAACAATGAAAATGTTGAGACTTGTCACTCTCATTTCTCAGAAGAAACATGAAATTCAATTTATGATGTTTGTTCTCGACTTTTTAAAATGATGAAAAAAAATTGTGTTTTGCTGCTGCTGATGCTGTTTTGTTTTCAACAGTAAAATAAATTCATTTCCTCATGAGGATTGCTTTTTTGTGCTTGCTTTTTTCTTGTGAAACAATTATTTATTTATCTTCATGCATTTTTTTTCGTACTTAGTTTGTTCTTTGGGTTTTTTTTTTGAGAAGCTGGAGCAATGAAGGAGTAAGTTTGAAATGTCGTTTGTTGCTTTATGGCTTTGTGATATTTATAAAAGTTCTTGCAATTAGGTTGAACCGCACTAGTTTCAAGCAGAATCTGAACGATCTGCTTACCAATATTGATGGCTTACTTGTTCCTAATTTTAATTCAGATCCACAAGAAACCAAATCTATTGATTATAGCAACAAGCAGGATCAAAACACATCCAGCATATACCTAACTCTAATCCAGGACCTTAGAATGTATGAACTGTCAAAACATCAAGTGTAAAAAAGTTCCTGAAAATGCCCACATTAGTCACCGATCATAAATTATTCACGGACTAAAATTAAGTCTCATCATTCTCAATTTCACGGCATTAAATCATTTTAATAATGCTCTCAAAAATTGCACAAATTGCACCCATTAAATGCTTCCTTTCTGAATAAATTCCAGCTAAAAACTTGCAAATGAATTCATTTTATGTACAAAACTTTTCATTCTTCCTCAGTTCTTCCCATTTTCCCAAAAAACCCAAGCACCAAGAAGAAGAAGAAGGAAAAGAAATAAATTAATAATTAAAATATTGTTCATAAAACTTCATACTTTGTTTCTATTTCTTTTTTGCTCCATATTAATTCTCATGGATTTTCAAGCTGTAGGAATGCAACGAGCTGAGAGTGTTAATTGAAATTATAAAACTTTATGATTTAGTCTCACATCTTCCGTTTCTTCATCGCTTTCCTGTGAAATGAAATTGCATTTTTTTTATCATTCTTTACTCGCAGCTCATTCTTCTTTCATAATTATATTCCTTTCATTCTCAATTGCAATTATTAAATTGTTAATTCAAAAGATCTCGGACGGAAAATGAGTTTTTTAATTGAGGAAAGTTTTAAAAGTTTTTGCTTTTGGGGGCTATTCGTAAGTTAGGAATTTATAGAGATTGGGGAGCAAGCGAGGGTTTGATAGTCTCAGTAATGGATTGGGTGTATTGAATATATTAGGTTTGTAAGGTTCAAAACTAGTAGCTCAGCTATCTTTCTTGTCTATAAGATCAAGTAAGCTTTGACTCTCCTTATTATCAGATTTAGAGTCACTGACATATTTTTACACAACTTTTCACACTTTTTTGTTTAAGACACCCCTAGCTAACAGATCTGCTCAACTTCCCATCCATAACCTCCCTTTTCAACAACTTCCGTTTAATTCTAGTCCATTTTGTAACATAAGAACCTGCATGACTCTAAAAATCAAAATTTAATGATCGACATCATTTACGAACGACCCCTTTATGCGACTTTTGATATGCTTCAGAAGAGTATAAGAATGACTTTTCTGTATTTTAATTAGATTTAATGTAATCGCTATTATTATTATTATCATCATCATCATTAATAAGTCATTATCTTTAAGTGATTCTATCTTCTTCTTAGATAAGATAAGAGGCTTCTCAGAAAGTCAGAAATTTGCCTAATTCATCGTTGAATGCTTACCTCTGACATTTGATGCTGAAAGAAATATAATTAAGACTCACTTTGAATAGTAAATTTGACCTTTTGATGAAATTTATTGCTTGTGTAGCTTGCTTGGTATCGACCTTGAGCACTTGAGTGATTTCTTAGTATGATGATGTTTATTGAAATGTAGCCAGCTGTGAAATGATTGGAAAAACAAATTTGTAAAATCAAAATTTCATAGCTTGCTGAAAATAAAATGTTAAAGAAGCTAAGTTCACAAAATTTATAATTTGTAGCTTTTTAAGTGATCTGAATCAGCTCCCATAGACAATTTTATCAATTTCAAAGCAAAGCATCATCGCCTACCTTCATGAATATTGAATAAGTCTCAAAGACAGCCTTAATACATTTTCTCATTAAATCCTCATAATTTATCATTAAAACAAAGTCATTGACAATGCATCGATGTCCATTATTAAGGTACAGACTAATAATATCATTAATTAATTGATCTATTTAAGGACTTTCAAGGAAGATCCAACAAATCTTCAATTTATTGAGTAAACAATCAAAATTAAACTCATCAAGACATTGTAGCTTAAAAGCAATTGCAAATCACCGAGAATGAGAAGCAATTCATCCACTTAACCCAATTTTTAGCATCTTGTTCATGTTCTTGTGTCACAGACATTTCATATACACCAATTGTGTTTAGTTTATTTGCTGTTATCTTATAATATTAATAACGATATTGTGTACATGATACTTCAAAATGAATATGTCTTAGATGTTCACAATAATTGATGTAATGCAGCTGAGAATCCAAAATGTTGTTATTATCAAACTGAAGTTGTTTGTCTTAATTGTTTGAGCTTTGTGTGAATAGAATTTAATTAAATGCGTATGATTTATGGTTGAATGGGTTTGGGTTGGGAAGGTTTGTATGTCAATGAGTTCTTTATTGCAGTTAAGAAGAAGGTTAATCAGACTGTGGACCTTAATTTTTGAGACCAATCTCCAAATTTACTTTAATGATCACGGGAAAGGAAACGTCAACACACCAACTTCCCTAAAATTCAACAGACAGAATGAAAAGGATGATCAGCACCAAAAAACTTTCATCATAAAGCACATCCACTGTTGATTTTTGACATATTCCTTCTCATCCACAAAAAAACGCAAATCCATGACAAGATCTGCCACGTTGAGTGTCTGAAAATCTTCTCAGGCACTTTTTTTTGTGTCGGATTTCCCTTTTTCATTTTTGACTGTGCGATTTAATCACTTCCAGAGTTCCGATGAGAGATTTTTTTTTTTTCTGGGGATAGAAAATTTCACACTCGATTCTTCGTTTCGCTCTTTTTACTTTAATGACTTTTTCATACTTTTTTACTTCCATTGGCGTTGTTGATGGGTGTGATTATGTAAGTGGTGACTGTAAGTAAATAATGTGCTAAAATGTGATTGTGATTGGGGAAGGAGGAATTTTGATGATATTTGAGGGTTAAAGGTGGGAGGGTGGGAATCAGAGGTTAACTTCAATGATGAGCTATTGTGCCTCCCTCTTAAACACACAAAATAATAATCGAACTAAATTGCACACCTGCATCCAAAATCCACACTTAATCCCAAAATCTTCCTAAATGAGTGAATGAATGACATAAGAAGCTTTAGAATCATTTTAATTCAATGATGAAAATGACCATCGAAAAAAATTAACTTCCACCATAAAAAGCATCTAAAACTTTTCCTATTTTTTTTCATCATTTCAGCTGTTGTGCGAAAAGTCGAGGCTGTCATAGGAAAATATGGACATTTATCCTGTAATCTCACATCTGACATTCGTGACGATAGAATCGCATTAGTAATATGGTACAAGGAGGGAAAGACTACACCAATTTACAGCTATGATGCACGTGATTCAAATGCCATCGATGGCGGCAGTCATCATGGCATGAATTCCGATGGAAAATATTACTTTAACACATCATCACTTAATCCAGCATCTTTTGCGATTGCTAATCTAACAGCAGATGATGAAGGTACTTATCGTTGTCGTGTCGATTTTCATCGGAGTCCAACGAAGAACACAAAAGTTCAACTTTACGTAATCGTACCACCTGATAATATTCTCATCCTTAATGAGCTTAATCGGCACATTTCACATTATATACTCGGGCCATATAATGAAGGCTCATCAATAAACCTCACGTGCATCAGTCAAGGTGGACGTCCACAACCAAAGTTAACCTGGTGGCACAATAATCAATTACTTGATACTGTTGATATTACGAGACTGTCTGACAAAAAAGTCAGAAATGTTCTGTATTTAAAGAATCTCGATAGGAAAAATTTGCTTAGTAGTTATACATGCCAATCGTCAAACAATAATTTAACCGATCCAATAACTTCGTCTGTCATGATAGATTTAAACTGTGAGTATATTTACTTTTTGGAAGTTATTTTGTTGTTGTAGATTCGATTGTTGTCTAGGAATAAAGACAGTTCAAAGATCTGACTGTTTTCACATTCGAAGACTTCTAAATCGGTCCAATAAGACTAATATTGTATTCAAGAGGCTTAAAGAGGTCTACTGCATTAAGAGCCGTGTCATCCTATTGCAACTTCATAATTTGTTCGTCGCAACCTAATGCAAATCTAGTTATGATTTTGGAAAAGTGAAAAAGAACCCTAATTTGACCTGACATTCCCTGGGCTCGAACCCATGACATCTGGTTGAGAAGATCATCACACTAACCAATGCGCTACTGCTGTCATAACTCAACTACAATAAAATCTAGCTTAAATTCATCCCAATATCAATTTTTCCTATAATGAAATATTTATTCATTTTTAATATTCCAACAACGCTTATAAAAAAAGAACATTCTCGCTTAACATCCGTTTGAGAAATTATTAATTTGAAAAGTTTAGGAAATTAAAATTCCAAAAAAAATGAAAAACCTTTTAATGATTTTTACGCTCGACTTTTTAAGTTTTCCGAGAAAAGTCGATTGGATGGAAAATAAGTGGAATAAAAAAGCAAACAATTTCTTTAAGGAAATCCTATCAAAACTGAAAAAAACCTCTGAAGGCTAAGCACGCTTCTCAGCTTTTCAGAAACAAGAAAGAGAACCAATTTTAATGAAAATTTAAAGCGGATGTGTTGTTGGTATCGGCATTGAATTTATATTTTCATAAATCTCTTTCACATTTGAATTTGTAAAATGTAAAGGAGGTTATGGATGCGATGAAATCGTAAATTTAAGTGTAGGCATTATGGAGAATATTTATGGGATTTGATTTCACAAAATTTCCTTAAGGAATTATTTTCTAGTCCATTTGTTGTATAACAATACATATTTTACAAAAGGACTACTTTATTAAAGCAGAATGAGTGGGTTCGGCTTGATGTTTTCGAAAAGGTCAATGGAATTTCTTTTGTTTTGTGCTATTTTGAGATCCACGAGTCTTGAAGCATTTTAAAGAGTAAGGAAACTGTTGATTTTAGCGTTAAGTTTGAAACCTAATCGAGGTCTAGCTTAGCTAGAATCAAGAAATCTTGCTCAAAGTTCCTCAGATTGTCTAGGGCTAGTTCAAATCATTAAGTCGACCAAGTTAGAATCAAAAATCTTAACCAAATCTTGATCAAAGTATCTTATATTGACCAGAACTAGTTAAAATCATCAAATCAATTAAGAAAAGTTTTATAATTAAAACCAAATCGTAACCAAAGTTTAGACGAAAATGAAGAATTCCAAAGTTTAGACAAAAATTAAGAATTCGATTCTGTATTCCCAAACATTTAAACATCCTTTAAAATCCCTAAAAAAATAACCTTAAACAACATCAAAAAAGCTTTAAAAAGTACAAAAGGAAATCCCTCATTTTAATGCTTTGTAACAAAGAAATCGTTCAAATACAGCATAAAGAAAGAAAATCCAACACACACCAAAAAAGAATGCTTCCTTCAAATGTCAGCGGTTGTGAATAATTCAGCGAGCTAAGTTTTAAAGCGTACAAAGTAAAATGAGAGAGCGAAAATAAATATTGAATTTCCTCTTCTGTTATTTTTTTTCTGCTGACAACATGTGTTCTAATTAAATTCCATTCTCTTTCCTTCCATCTGCAAATGGAATTTCCTGTGCATTTTCCAAATTATTCATGTACGATGATTTTTTTTCAGCATGCAAACATTTTTTCAATTCATCAACATTCCAGCATGATTTAATTCTTTTTGCTTGTTTCCTGTCTCTTGTTTTTTACTCTCGTCCACAGTGAGGCCTTTATCGGTTAAAATTATGAAGGATTTAAAATTCATGTCAACAAAACAGAAATACAATTTGAAATGTGAGGTGAGAGGGTCACGTCCAGCACCGAAAATAAGCTGGTGGCTAGGCTCAACGATGCTAACAAACACAAGCGAAATGGTAATTTATCTAATGAACATATTTTTTGTGCAGTTGTGTAGTCATGTAGTCATGTGGGGAGCTTTTTCGTGGCAGTGATGTAACAAGGGGATGTGACTGGGTCAGTGGCATTATGCAGAAAGCTTTGAGAGGCACAAATGCATGATTATGGTCTTATAATCAGCAATAAGCTACAGATAAAGCTTCGAAACTTCCATATCCTTGCTACATCCCTAATTTTTGGGTTTAAGTGATTTTTTATGGACACAAACTATTTAATTTTGGAATGACGGATGTAGAATCGAGAATTTGAAAGATTTTGAATTATTTTGAAGTCTTCTGGCTTAAATTTATTTATAAAAATTCAATTTAATAATCAAAGCCTCACAAAATATCAGTCAATCCTCTCTAAATCAACCCAAAACCTCCATTCCCACCCCAACTTCAATCCCTAACACCCCCTCCAAAAATACAATTTAAAAATTTCATGTCCACAATGCACAAATGCACACAGTATGTATTCTCAATTAAACATTGAATGAAAATACAAAACAGGAAAAAAAATTAAATTATTTCACAGTTTAATTATGTTTATGTGCTAATTTTTATGGCACAAACTCTCAGCGGCGTTGCTACTGTGTGCATTGAAATCTCATAACAAATAATTTTTTTATGAAATTTTCATGAAGCAAAATTGTGTAGCATTTAGTGGATTTTATTATTTGAATGCGGGGGTGAGGTTTAATGTGGATTGCGAAATTTTATTATTTTTATTGCAAAAAAAGTGGATGTAATCGGATGTTGGAAGTTTCTATTGATATAATTCTTAGTCTCTCGTGCTTTTTTAAAGTTAATTTGATTTTAATTCAGTCATTGCGTTTTCTGTAGTGTAGGATGATGCTTAATTTTAAGATCAGCATCATCGCCTACCTTCATGAATATTGAATAAGTCTCAATGACAGCCTTAAGACATTTTCTCATTAAATCCTCATAATTTATCATTAAAACAAAGTCATTGACAATGCATCGATGTCCATTATTAAGGTATAGAATAATTTCATTAATTAATTGATCTATTTAAGGACTTTCAAGGAAGATCCAACAAATCTTCAGTTTATTGAGTAAACAATCAAAATTAAACTCATCAAGACATTGTAGCTTAAAAGCAATTGCAAATCATCGAAAATGAGAAGCAATTCATCCACTTAACCCAATTTTAAGCATCTTGTTCATGTTCTTGTGTCACAGACATTTCATATACACCAATTGTGTTTAGTTTATTTGCTGTTATCTTATAATATTAATAACGATATTGTGTACATGATACTTCAAAATGAATATGTCTTAGATGTTAATAGTTTCTATAAATTGATTTATCTTAATTAGGTAGTTGAGAGTGTGGCTTTGTTTTCAACGAGACATCAAATATGTCATTTGTATAAATATTGACAGAATAAGTTGAGGATGTTGTGTGAAATTAAGAAATTTTGAATTTTGTACAGAAATCATAGTCAAGATGCATAAAACATGACATTTTCTTAACAATGCAGTTCTAAATTTTTGGGGTTTGTTCATTAATGACGTCAATAAAACATGATTTTGAACTCTCATTCCAAATTTAACACTGTTAAAAAAAATTCTTCTGAAAATAATTATAAGATTGGCTATAAAAACGGTAGACGTAACTGATGAACAACCCTCATTTCTAAAAACATTTAAAATTCAAATTCAAAATCTAAATTCCATATCTGCAATCTAGTTCTCTTCCAACTTTCTTGCATTCACATTCACAGCTTTAAATCATGACATAACCTACAAAAAAAATTAAAAAAAATCTTCAAAATTTGATGCAAATGGATGCATTTTCCTATAATTGCCTCACATATGCATAGCTTATGTATCGTTCACAACTGTCCTAATGTCAGTCTCACAGGTACAATAAAATATAATCATTATGCAAATGTGTGCTATAACAATATTAAGCTTTCTGCAGTCAAAATAAGCTTTTTCTCTCGCATTGACACAGCTCAGACACAGCTTGAAAAAGAATTCCACGTTAATGTCAGTGTCGAATGAAAAAGCTGTCGTACATAATCGTTCGAAATGTTCCTGCAGAAAAGAAAATAAAATTAAATTTTTGAAAATGAAAGTCAAATAATTGAGGGAGTAACAAAATTTTACGGTGGAACTGAATGACTGTATATGTATGTAGCAGTGTATTGTACGTGACTAATATTTACTCGTGCATAAAATAAAGCAATTATTTAGTTTGCTTAATTGAGAGAGGTTCTAGCGACAAAATAGCGTCTGAATTTGAATCATGTTTGTGTAGCAACAACAAGGAATTTAAATTTATTTATGAGGGTACATAAAATATTTTCGGATATTAGTTTAAAATTTTGAAATTTTCTACTTTTGGAAGTATAATTACTATGTTAATTATTTCTGAGGATGGTAATTAAAGCTGTTTAGGGAGTTTCGAGTGGAATTTAATATTTGAATTATTTCTATTTATTTTGTAACATAAAATGTTGAATGTTAGGATTTTAGGAATTAAATTAAAGGAATATCCATAAGTAATAGTATGCCTAAAGGGCAGCCAGAGGGGATTTGAGGGACAAATTCCTCTCGCTTATCAGAAATTTATTTTGCTATGGTTTTTTAAAAAAAAACGTGAAAATACCCCCCCTCCCCCCCAAAAAAAATTTCCCTAGGAATTTTTTTGGTCCTTCCTCCCCTCCCAATTCCTGGCTATGCCTCTGCTAAGGGGCAATGAGAGACCTTTGAAGGATTTATGCTGAACAGAAAGCTAAAAAAATTTAAAGGAATCGACTTCATATCCTTACAATAATAAGGCTTTGTATAGAGGCGGGGAGGTGGGGTTATGAGTTGTTGACAGAGTCTACAGATCTAGTCAGTGTACCAAACAATGACTAATATAGCATTGATATTATTAAGGTCAGTATAAGTCCAATTCAATTTTTAAATATGCCAAATTCAGCTTAAAATATTGAACAACTCAATAATCTAAAACTAAGTGATGTACAACCTTTTTCGTACCACGGCACACTCGGTGGTAAACAATCACCAAAACTGCATACGATTCATGAGAAATCTCAAATTTTTTCACGGTACACTTGTGTGCCGCGACACACGGGTTGACCATCACTGATCTAATGAGTCCTCCTTCAACATTCTCAACAACCCTTTTCAATTAAAACTCTTGATTCTCTCAAAATTATCTTCAATAAAATATTTTAAATTAATACTCAGCACTTTAAAATTTCTAAGAAATTATTCAAATTTAATAGCTTTAACTTGTCACAAATTCTCGAATAAAAAATTATTCATTATGAATGAGTAAGCCGCAATAAATTGAAAATTCATCCCACATTTTAAATTGAGATTACGAAGAAAACATGAAATTATGTCTACACAAGATGTTTCTTGTTAGACTGATAAGAAGAATTTGAAAAAAGTTTCGTCTTTAAAGTTTCATTATGAATGTGAAAATGTTATGACGTCAAAGTTATTATTAGTTTTTGGATCATTTCGTCAGGTTTGAAATTGAATTTTTTTTTTGAAGAAAAAGTTTTACTTTGGGATTTTTGGAGGGTGTTGGGAGTTTTTTTGGTCCAACTAGAACTTGAATTTTGCTGACTTTACACCTTAAAGCTTCTCTGTCGAGCTCAACCCTTAAAAATTAAGCATTAAATCAATTATAGTCTCAATTATCAATCTCAATCCAAAATCAAACACTCTTGCTCCCTTTTAATAAAGCCCTAAAAGCAGTAAAACCACAGCTTCATCATTTATTCATCACTCCATCCACGAAAAGGCTTCAAAACACATTAACAGAAGAGCTAGAAATCTTCAAGCTTAGTATAAAAACATTAAGAATTAACAAAAACTTTATTTTCTTCCCCCCCAAAAAAAACACAGATGCTGAAAGATGGAAATGCGACTGGTTCCGTGCTAACATTCATCCCAAATATCGAGGATCAAGGAAAATTTCTCTCATGTCGAGCTGAAAATCCTCAAATTCCCGACTCGGGTGTTGAAGATGGTTTTAAATTAAATTTGCATCGTAAGTATTTCACACACAAGATGGGCTGAAAATGTAGCAGTAGAAGAGAAATAATTAATTTTTCTGGGTTAGAAAGAGAGAGAAACATTTTTATGGGATATGTTGAATATTAATGATATATTCCTAAAGAGGGTCGGTTGGATGTTACGTAACTTCATAATTGTGGTTAGACAAATCAAGTTTAGCTATTTTAAACATTATGTAACATCCAAAACGACCCCAAATAACATGAACCATCTTGAATCATGTAGATGAGCCGCTTATAAAACTTGAACTCGGTACAAATCCGGTTGTTGAGGGAAATACAGTTGGCGAAGGAGCGGATGTTTATTTCGAATGTAATATTAAAGCAAATCCTCCAGTTTATCGAGTGGCATGGAAGCATAATGTAAGAATAAATCTTGAGTCAACATTAAAAATTTAAAATAATGACAATCTCATTTAATTCGCTTACAGGAAAATGATTTACATAATAATCCACAGGAAGGAATCATCATCCGAAATCAGTCCCTAGTTTTACAAAATATATCACGTGTTCGTCTTGGTGAATATGTTTGTATAGCAAGCAATTCTGAGGGTGATGGTTACAGTCAACCCGTACAGTTGAATGTTCTTTGTAAGTTCTGAATTTTTAATGAAAAAAAAAATTCTTTCAGCTTGGGTTTCGGGTATAAAGAGGGGAATGTGAACTATGGCAAAGTTTTCTTGTTAGTGATTTTAATAGAAAAAGCTTTTAAGATTTAAGAAGAAGGAAAAAAAAGGGTAAGTAAGTATATTTTTCGAGAAGTTTAAGAAGAGATCAAGATAGAAAGTATAAAAGCTTACAGCAAGCACATCTGGATTTTAAGATTCGATACTAAAGCTCTTGAGTAGAATTTTTGTCAAAAGTTCCAATGTTGAACTTTAAATGTTTGTTCTGCATTTGTCGTGCCACCAACTGACTACCAAATAGCTTCCAGCTATAAAATCGATGTTGACACTTTCCATAGAACTAGATAATATTGCCTATAGCTATTATTTTTAATAGCAGATCAGTATATCCAATGTGTTGTCAATGTGAAAAAAAAGAGCAACAAAAAAATGCAGCCAATGTCAATTCTCACATTGTTTTAGTGTTTGGACAGATTTATGTGTCTCAAAGGCATCCGTTGACTGTTGTTGCTAGTGCATTGTCTATTAAGAAGTATCAGTTGATCATTATTAGGATCATGATGAACTCGGAATGAAGGTTGACAGCTATTAGAGGAATTTATTAAAAAATGAGATAATCTACAAATTAAGCATAATCCAATCCAACATAGAAAAGCATGTCCAACAAGCCTCACATTCCCCCTATCAAATGACCGATATTTGGATCTCCATAATGATAATTAATCATGTTCTCGAAATGCGGGCTGGCTGTATGGAAAACTTGTAATGTCATTCATCCCTTCCCTCCTTTCAATGTCTTGTTTTCGTTTACGACAGAACGAGAAAAAAAACCACAAAAAACCCATCTTTTGCCACAACCAAAATTTTTATTTTTTCTGTGTCTTTCCCATTAAATTGCTCGCAAATATATTAAAGTTTTTAGCATTTGGAAATGAATGAATTTTTTTATTTCCCATACAGCACCAGCAGTGGCAGTTACGAAAATAAAAAAAAATAATTTTTCCCATCTTTGCTTGCCATTTTTTTTTAACCATTCCTATCTGCCTGTGTATTACTCAAATATTTATTTCATGTCTTCATTCAGATGCTCCAATTTGTAGGCCAGGTTTACCACAAACATACAGCGTAGATCGAGGCGAAATTGCCAACATTAAATGTGAAGTTGAATCAAATCCAATGGCACATGATTTCAGGTGGAAATTCAATTCATCGTTTGCTGATTTCACCGAGCTTCAAACAAGCGACGATGTTAAAAGCATTTTGGATTTTAAACCGCAAAGTGAGAATGATTATATGGGAACGGTATTGTGTTGGGGCATAAATTCAATTGGTATGCAAACCGAACCGTGTGTATTTCAAGTTGTTCCGGCAGGAAAACCTGAACCACTGAGTAATTGCACAGTTGTTAATCAAACTCAGAACTCATTTCAAGTCTTATGTGTTGAGGGCGATGATGGTGGATTTCCGCAAGACTTTGTAGCTGAGCTGTATTATGCGAGAGAAAAATATATCACAAATTCAATATCCTCAAGGTAAATAACGATACGTGCAAATAAATATCAATAAATTTCATCCTTTTTTTGATCTGAGCAGAGGAAGATGTACAGATAGATAGATACGTAGTCATGTTTGGTTTATTGTTTTCTTTATTTGTCTGTCCGAAGGTATGTTAGTTTTCAATTGGGATTATGGGGATTGTAATTTGAATGCTACAAATTCGAATGCTACTGAAAAAGACAGTCAACTTATGGAGGAATAGGCTTGGTGCTGCTCAATTATCTTATATTAATAATTTTGCGATTTTAAACCTAAAGGTGAAACTTCTACCAGTGGCGTTGAGGTTAGGGCGATGACTTCTGATGCTTATGACATGGTTTCGATTCCCAGGTCGGGTTTCTTGGCTATAAAGGAGTCATCCGTCATCATTTTAAAATCCAGAAAATGATAAGTTAAATATTCTTAAAACTTGATGAACACGACAGCTTTCCTTAAAACAATAAACCCACGAGAATATCCCCAACCCCTATCATTCTAGCAGCACTCCCACACCAACTTCCCAAAGAATATTGAAAAAAGCAAAATTGATTGAATTGATTCCTTCCCTTCAACCTTAAAGTTCAATCGTTCTATCTTCATAGCATTCCCTCCTCTAGTTCTATTATCTCCATTTTTATACCACATTAATTGTGACCTCGACTCTTCCATCTCATCAATCTCCTCTCTATATCTTCGCACTATAAATATAATATGTTGTATCAATTCATTTTTTCCTTTTTTTCTTTTTGCTTCCATATCCAATTTTCTATACAAACAACACAACACATCTGTAACCGCCAACATCATCATCATCAATATATGGATATCCAACAGAGTGCCGATATTTGATTTGAAAGGCTTAAACCCTGGACAAGAATATGATATTGTACTTTCAGCAATCAATAAAAAAGGAAGATCATCGTCATATGTAATATCCGCCTACACATTAAAGATGCCTGAGAAGCATACAGACTTGGCGCTATCCGTGACGACAGCACTGATGCAAAAACGTGAAATATTAATGATGGTTGCGGGCAGTGTGATAGGAATAATTGTCATTGCATTGTTGATAACAATTGTGGCGAAAATGCGTGGAACTCGTAGATTGGAATCAAAAGCAATGGTAGCGTCAAGTCTTCCATCACTTCCATCAGCAAATGATAATGAAAGCTGCGGGAATTTAGATCAACATCAGCATTATTTACATCAAGAGTCGCCTGATAGTTCGGATAAAAATCCAGACATCATACCACACACGACACTGGAAGAATGGCAAGAGGCAAACCAAAAGCAGATTTATGGATCAATGCATTATCGGATTCCCACAGCATTTTCACCACCACAATCACACCTTCATCAACTGCAGCCACAAACAGCTGCTTCGGCTATTGCAGCTTACAACAATTCCAACACTGCCAATGGCATGATTATTTATTCTGGCGCCACATTGGGTCGTCCTCATATGAATAATAATTTTAAGCGAATCGATTCTAATGGCATTTGTGCTCAGCAGGTGAGTTACAGCCTTTTCTCTTTCTTTTTTTATTTCATGCTGCATGGCTATAATACATCAATATATGTAGTCCCTAGTCTTAATGTTTGAAAATCGATTTTTCAAGCTCTGAAAAACAAACTGAGTTGCTTTGCTTATGCTTTTCCCATCGTTATGATTTACAACTTCCTTTGACAATTTTTCTTGTTCTGTACCATCAATAGCTGTTGTTCTGCTTCTTTCCTCTTTTTCATTGTTCACGTTTACTCACAAGACTGCCTTTCTTTCCACATTCGGAAGAATTGTCTGAAGTTCATGTTGTGTCTGTGGCATGGAAATCCTCACAATTCTTGTGCTGAACATCTTTTATATGGATATGAGAATCATGTATCAATTTGACTAATGCTGACTATCCTCATTTTCTCAATTCATGTCTTATTATTATTATTGCTTGCCTATATGCCTGCCTGCTCACTGTTCAGCTTGTAATCAAATTTTGTACGCGCAATTTACATTCAATTTTATTCGAATAATTTATGTGAAAATTTAATTTTTTCCTCTCGCTTGCCTGAATCTTTTTCCATTTACATTTTTATTCCATATTTATGCTTCTTTCTCATTTGATTTCACTTCCAATTCACCAAATTTCTACATGTATTATTTCATTTTTATTATTCTTTCATTCTCTAGTTTGATTTAGCATCGCCGCCATTACAGCAACATTACCAGAAGTATTATCTCCAACAGCAACAGCAACATCATTCGATTAATACACAAACAACGGGTCTGGTGATTGCAAGCTATCAAACTGCGCCATTAACAGGTTTAAATACAGCACAACAGCATACAACATTAGATAGATTTCCAACGCCTCCGTCACCATCATTATTCGTATCTGCCAGCACAACTAATCCTGTTTGCAACTCTAATGAACCGGTAAGCATCCAAAAGATTTATTGTTACTGTTTCCACATCGTTGACTATTTCCGCTAGCTGTTCAATGAATGAAGATTCTTTTTTTTTGTTTTATTTTATTTTATTTTATTAGCGCAGTTTTGAATGGAAATTCTGTTGTGGTAGTGGATTGGATTTGTCTATTTGATTGCTGATTTGAATGCAGCTTGTGAAAGTCTGCAGTGAGCTGATATTTATGGGGATGCGGTTCTTGTTAAGCGAGTCTTTGGGAATAGGACGGGTTGGTCAGTGATTCTCAAAATTTTTTAACTCATGGCCAGTTTCATGGCTCACTAGACACAAGCTTGCTCCTTATTTTGAATATGATATACCCTGTTATGCCACAGCCTACAGTTTGAGAACCACTGGAGCAGAAAACTTCTAATTTTTGACTAAAATGTGATACCAGCAGTACTGAATTTCACAATTTTTGAAAGAAGTAAGCTCCTCAGTCCAGAATAAATCAGAGCATGACAACAAAGTATTAAGATCCTAATAAAATTAATTAATAAAAGTCACTATAGACATTTCTATTTAATCAAATAAATCTTCTATATGTTGATCAAAATATTTCAATCAGAAAATACATTCCGGAATCATACATTGATCCAATAATACCATCATAAGCTTAATTGGTTCTGAGTAATCCTTAAGATTATCTACTTAATATTTATATATGAAATTCTATTAAACGAGAGATGATTTGTGCTTTCTATGAAGGCTTTTTCGGATAAGTTTTCTTAGTATGAATATTTAACTGTACGCAGGCATTATGAGAAATTGTTTTAAATATTAGGACATGCTTTAAAATGTTTATCGCATTTTGTTATGAAGATAAAGGCTAAAGGGTTATTATGAAATTAAGTTCTCCATTAAGAATCTAAGAGGAGGTCTGAAATTGGTGAAATAAGATTCAAAACTATATCTCTTGATAGAAGTCAACAGTTCAAGACACGTATAGATCCAATTGAGGTTCAGTCTGAATAATTTATGTTTATTATGTCCATTAAAACTGCGCTCTAATTTCGAACTTTTACTACTTGATTTCCAAAATCTTCCACTCAATACATTCCTCACACTTTATTCACAAATCATTTAAAAATTTTGCTTTAGTAATAAAAAAGTTATTCAATACAATTCACTTCATATTCCACATCCTAGTGCCATTTCGAACAAAAAAGAATTCAGTGCCAAAAATTAAATTTTTTTTCTCTTTTTTTTCTCTTCACAATTTCTAGCGATCGATTCTGAAGTCTACAATATCCGAAATACCCTATACACATAGTCAGCAAATGATGAGCAGCCATGAAACACCATTTTGAAATATTTTTACATTTTAATATGTATCGAATAATGCTCACAGCACTACATGATGTACGAGAGAGCCAAGACGGATGGATAAACTTGAATCTCATCGTGAACATTTGAGAACGAATAGGATCGATGGTTTGGTAGACAAATTGAACAAGAAGAAGTCATTAAGGTTGTTAGACAAACATACGAAATACTTTTAAATTATATAATAAAAAAAATTCATGAACATTTTACAGAAAAAAAAAGAATTTCATAAAAATTGATTTTATCTCCATCATTTGTCAAGAATTGTGGAGCAGATTTTCATTTCAGTGATGATTTGTGGAAGTAGAACTGAAAGGCACATGGTATGTAAGGTTTTTTGGAAAGTCTATGTGTGATTCGAGTTTATGATACGCAGTTGTGCTACCTAATTTTATAAATGCACTTTAAGACACTTTTACCTGCTCTGTCTCCACTCCAACCTGTGCCTTTCGGTCGAAAAACAAATTTAATATCTTTTTTCCAGCTTTTATTTTGATGTGATTGATTTCATAATATTTTTTTTTATAATTGAAATATGAACTTTTTTGGTATTTGGAAGTCTTTTTGTCGTTTTACAACCTTTCCAGCTCGATTGATGCAATAAAAAGGTTTCTTTGTAATAAAAATATTGCAATGAAAATTGCGGAGAAAGTCGTTAATGTCATCAGCAGTCGCATCTATATTTTTAGAAATGAAACATTTTATTTTCAGGGTATGAATTACGGGTAAGAACTTTAAGGCAATGATGAAATTTGTGATTGAGAAAATTATTGTAAAGATCTCAGACTGTAATTTGAGATATGAATGCTGTCGATGTCCTCTTTATGGTTTGTCTGTATTTTCTTGGACATTTGCTAGAATTGACATAGTAGAATGATTGGATTGTGTCGATTATTTTAAAATGGCCAGCATCTGTTAAACTAAGTCTGCAAGTCACATAAGTCAAAAAAATCTTAATTCTAAAGCTTGCAATCTTTCCTTTTCCAAAATCTCAGGGGCATGAGTATAGGGCTCGCTTTGAAACTGGTTTTATGTGTATGTGCCAAAGTGCGATAAGTACCTCGGTGACTGAGTGGCAGGGATCTCTGATCAAGTGGACTCAGAGATCGCCTCTTTTGAGGTCGTGGGTTTGATTCCCATTGTATCCGACTTATTTTACATTAGTATACACATATAGCCGTTATAGAGAGATCTACATCCATGACATAAACATCACACCTTATATCACCAAAAGCAACATTAGCCTTTGACTTTTCATCATAAATTTGTCGAATCAACGATGTGGAAATCCCAACATACCTAATTAATTTTAAATTGCTGCTTCAACCCACGTTCCAAAAAAAAATTACACATTAATATTCTGTAAATATAAAGTACAAAAAATATGGAAAATTTAAACGTGTAAATTTTTTCACATACCTAATTAGCAAATGTAATCTGATTGATGGATTAATTAATTACTTTAGAGTGTGATAATGAGAAGGGTGTTGGGGGTGTTTGAGAATATTAAGGTATTGATGATCTATCAATAAACAGATTACGATGAAGCTTTGCTTGAAATAACTCTGTGATTTTAGTTCAATTTTACTTTGTTTGAAGGTTTTACATGAAAGAAGCATTGAGTCTGAAGATAAATTAATTTTGGATGGACTCAAAGCTTTAATTCTTTTCTCAAAAACTAGAATGAAGTCAAATTGAGTTTGTCGAATGAAAATAGTATGCAGGGACAAAGCTCGAAAAATCGGTCTATGATCATAATCAAGCTTCGATATCACATCCACTTGACACACTTATTAACAAAGATCAACTGCTGTTTTTAAAAAACCTTTACCTATGCTGATTGCCATTACAAATCAATAAAATTCCTTAAACACCTGTAATCCCATTTTTATTCCAACTCCATCAGAAATAGCACCACATTCTCTTTTTTCTCAATCCTTAACAAACTTTTGCCATTAAACCATTGTGTATAGAAAGTGAAATTCGATCTATAGCGTGACAGGATTCGTTTGACGTAGTAGATGAATAAAAATCAGCAACAGCTAATTGAATTAAAAAGTAGGAGAAAAAGAATTGTAATTGATTGAACATGTGACGCACGAAATTGTGCTTACTGAAGCTGAAGACATAAATTCCGAAGAGGAAGAAAGAATTTTTTTATGTGTTCCAAAAAAAAAGGATTAATTTACGAGTCTATACAAAAATTTCTTCTTCTTTTTTCCTTGTTATCGTTTTCATTTTCTACTTCATAGCATACCTTTATTTGTTCTCACTCACTGTGTTCACGCCATTCCAGTTGATGACATTTTTCCTTTTTCCTTTTTCAAGTTGTCGGGATTTTTTGGAGATTGGAGTTGGTTGTGTGGATCAGATTGTCTTGGACTGAGGATTTTTGTGGGATTATCTTAGAGTGCTAGTACAGAAGGATATCCAAGATGTGAGGATGGATCAGAATACAAGCTACAATGAGGCAAATCTGTCATATAGAGGATAAAAACTCAATGAACTGTTCCTGACTCTGTTCGTGACTCATCGATAAACAGAAAATTTATGAGGACTGAAGGTTCGATTCTCAGACCTGAGCAGCAAATTTTCTCGTCAAGTATCTGGTCCAGTCCTTTTGAGGAACCTTTCATTAATATCAGGTTTTACAATAAACTCAGTTATGTCATTTGGAGCAAGTATAAAACAAATACTGCGTCTAATCCCCTCTTCAACCTCAAATTCCACCCTTACTTCCAAATATGTAGGCAGAAATCTTTTGGCACAAATTTTTTCTCGCCTTCATTTCTTCTTTTTCTTCTTTTGTTCCTTTGTTTATTGTCTTGAAAGGTGGTGTCGCCTATAATTAATAGCTTGATATTTTAACAAGGCAGATCCAACAAGCAAATAGGCTATAACAAGGCAGCTAATCCTTGACTAAAGAATAGAGCGGTGGCAACAAAAAAAAGCATAAAATAAAAAATTTTATGTCCCAAATTTTTCCTTGATATTTTCTTGCTTATTTGTAGGTGTAGTTTATGCAGCATAACATTGTTAATTAATTAAATCCACAGAATGCTGTAAGTACGCACTCAACAACAATATTTACAACGTGAATTGATCACGATAGTCGCTTGATGTCGAGTCATATTTTGAGTTTATGACATGAAAAGGTTGTATGTGATGTGATTAAAGGAGCAGTACAGCGAGTACATAAAAACACACAGAGGCAATAAAAAGCAGCAAGAGGAAATTAATTGCTTTATAATGTAGATGAATAAGGGGGAAAGGAAGACGAGCTGATGTTGATGTTGTAATCTTTTATTAAAAATCTTCGAATTGAAATTTTTTGCGTCTCCCCTCCTCGTATGTCGCTTTTTATTGCTATTGAACGTGGATAAATTTTACGCATTGGAACTTTTTTTTCTTCGGTAAATTTTCACGTAAATAATTGTTTGGGGATTAGAAGCTGAGTAAGAGACTGTTAGTGCACACATCTTGCTAATTAAATGGAGTTTTTATTTGAAATGTATTTTAAGGTTGTTCGTGTTTGTGAATTTTTTGTGTTTAAGTCTTACGCTTTATATTTTGTTGATAATTTTGAATATGGGGAATTCAAGTCTTTAACGTAGTTAGGGCTATAAGGATTTGAGGGGTTCAAAGAGCTTAGACTGCGAGGAATTAGTATTCAGGCTCTACTTTTTGATCAATCCTGTCCCTTCTATTCTATCTCTACTTTTGGCATGACACAGCTTTTATGTTGAGCCGCTAATGATGATGTTTGGACATTGCATGTGATCCATGAATCTCCCCTAGCCTTCCCAATCCAGTTTCTTTCCAAAAACAAACCAAGTTTCCAATTCTGAGCACTTCTAGCTCTCATTCAATTAACAAAACCATTCAATTTTTCATCATACATCCATACGACAATTATTATTTCCTATTGTTAACAAAATTTATCCTCAATAATACGGTCGTGCCTCTCATGCCGAACAGGTAAACGATAAAGTATTTATTTCACATACAAAATTGCCATTATATATTAAACAATGAAGACAATAAAATTAATTATTAATTAATATAACGATATTATTGACACTAGATTGTTTATGAACATGAAAAATTAATGGGAAAAATGGAAGGGACAAAGTTGTGGATGTCATTAGGGAGGATATTCATGATATTAACACATAATAAAGGAGATTGTTATGTGTATGAATCTAGAAATGATGCAGAAGTGCCTCAAGTTGCTTCAACAAAAACTTTCAAAAAATCTCATAATCTAATTTTGTAAGAGCCACTCAACATCCCTAAAGCATGCAAAATCTTACAACACAAAGCATCTTATGTGCATAAGTTCATTTTAAAAAAAAACTTCATGTCCAAAACAAGAAGATTCAATTATTCATGCAAACTACACAATCAATTGTCTTAAAGCTAAGGAAAAATTCAATAAATCCTTTTTAAGTTCACATGAATTATTCAATTATCTCAAACTTAAAACTAAGCACAACAGAAAAATAAAATTAATTAAGAAAATTTTTCAGGAAGACTGAAAGTCTTTTGCCTTTCTTCTTTGTTTTGTTGTTAAGTAAAGACAAGGGATGAATATTAAAAATTGTTGAAAAACAGAAATTTACTCAATGGGTTCGTCCCGAACGGGAATCGAACTTTGCACCTTTCGTTTGTCGGTCAAGTGCTCAGACCACTAAGCTATTGGGCTTTGCCATTGTCGGTTTTTGAACTCAGCTTTTAAGGCAGCTGTGCGCTAATACAAGTTACCAACCCCATGTTTCCTAATTTTAATACTAACAGGATTTGAATGAAAATTCAATAGAGTAAGAAGGCAAAAGAAAGAAAGAGCTTGGAAGAAGAAAAATAAAATTAACAAGTACTGAAATTAAATAAATAAGCTTGCCTTATTGTCTTATATGAGAGTAAAAGGATTACTGCTAGAATTTTAATATAAATTTGCAGCAATAAGAGAATTAAAATCTATGGTGAGGGTCTGGCATTGTTGCACTTTCTTCCTTTCTTCCCTTATTTGGTATTTCCAATTTTTTTTTTGTCATTATTGCAACAGAGATGTGTACACATAAAAGCCAAGCCAGCACACAGACTGTTTCTCACATAATATAATTTACAGAATAAACGAACGAAAGAATAAGCTTTAAAGGCCAATTGATAAAAGCCAAGAGTGTAGCAGGATTTGCTTAAATGGATTTTTGGATC